CTAGCACTTGCCCTGTCTGTGATGTGGAAGACGCTGACCCGCCTCTGGGACAGAGGGCCTTACTCCCCCGCCCTGTGCCTCAAACTTCCAAGGCCTGGCCCACAAGTGACCCCGTGAGGTTTGCCGACTCACAGCGGAGGCCCTCAGGTGGCAGGCAGCCCCAGCCCTGCTGCCCTGGCCGGGGAGAGGGGCCCACTGGGCCGAGCTGAGGCTTCCTGCTCTCTTCTGACCGGGCCCCCTCCCCCAGCCTTAGCCCCTACAGCCACGATGAAGGCTGTCTGTCCAGCAGCCAGGACCACATCCCCCTGGCCGCCCTGCCCCTGCTGGCCACCTCCTCACCCCAGTACCAGGAGGCGATTGCCACGGTGATTCAGCGGGCCAACCTTGCCTACGGGGACTTCATCAAGTCCCAGGAGGGCATGACCTTCAACGGGCAGGTGAGTCGTGGGATGAAGGAAGGGAAGACAGAAACCCTGCAGGGCAAGAGGTGGTGGCTCTCCCTGGCCGGCACCCCAGCAAACAGGGCGGGCACTCAGGCCTCTGGGGCCTCTCCCCCTGTAGATCTGCCTGATTGGGGACTGCGTCGGGGGCATCCTGGCCTTCGATGCCTTATGCTACAGCAATCAGCCAGTGTCTGAGAGTCAGAGCAGCAGCCGCCGGGGCAGCGTGGCCAGCATGCAGGTATCAGCTTCTCATGGCCCCCAGAGCAGGGGAACCCCGGGATAGAAACTGTGTCACCCTTTAGCCCCAGACATCCCCCAGGGCTGCGGTAAAGGCAAGGGAAGGGCAGAGGTTTCCAGTACAGGTGCCCAGAGGTGGCGGGGTGGGTGCACGGGGCAGGTGAGCAGCTGTAGCAGGACCAAGCCTAGAGCACACGAGGCTCCGGCAGGTGTAAAGCAAGGTCTGCACCGTGCGGAGCTGGGGTCTGGTCCTGGAAGGTGTGGCAGGCGGCTCCTCTGAACTTCCCAGCAGGGGAGAGGATCCGACGTCCCTGGGGCACAGGAGCAAATGGCCTGGGTGGGCCGGGCAAGGCGGTGAGATCAGTGGGAGATCATGAAGATCTGGTAGCCAGTTCAGGCAGGGATGAAGGCTGTTGGGACTTGGCCGGTGGGTTGGGGGGACAGTGGCACGACTAGGGGACAGGGCTTTCTCCTCTCCGGCGTGGGTGAGACGCTGGCTGGGCGGTGGCCAGTAGGCCCGGAGTCAGGAGGGAGGACACTGAAGCAGGGCCCAGGCCAGCAGCCACCGGGCAGTGAGCCTGCATGGGGCTGTTCCAGGACACTGACCTGCTGTCCCCGGGCACCCTGGTCAATGCGGCACATGGCGGCAGTGGCAGCGGTGGCCTGGAGAGCAGCCGGCACCTGAGCCGCAGCAACATCGATATCCCCCGAAGCAATGGTGTCGAAGACCCCAAAAGACAGTTGCCCCGAAAGAGGAGTGACTCGTCCACCTATGAGCTGGACACCATCCAGCAGCACCAGGCCTTCCTGTCCAGGTGGGTGGGGCCGGTGGGACCCAAGGGTCAGACCGTGAGGCGCATGGCCTGGTGAGGAGGGGTGACTCCAAGAGGGAGGGACACCTCAGGTTTGAGGCTGTCAACCAGGTCAGGCTGCTGGCCAACGTGAGTGTTGGGTGCCTCTGGGGTCTTGTACAAGCAAGGGCCATCTTGAGCCCAAGGGGACAGTTTGTCCAGGGGTGAAGCCCAGTCAGGGGGCAAAACTGACCAGGGACAGCTGTTCCAAAGGCAGTGGCATCCCTAGGGAGGTTGGGACCAGCTGTCACCAGAGGTGGCCACATCTGCAGGACAACACAGGGGTCGAGGCTCGTTTGGGCCTGATGACCCCTGGGGGGCTTCCTTTGGGAGACTGAGGGCAAGCCAACGCTGAGACAGGAAGAGCTGTGGTGCCGCCTCACGAGC